GTGGTGTAGCGGCAAATTTAGAGGTGGGAGGTCCCTTCTTGACACTTGAAGCCACACCCCGAAGCCACGCCTACTTCAAAGTCCCACGTACTTCCAGGATTATGCAACCTGTGATTCTATAGTACAAATGAGCTTTGACACTTTGTTTTTCTGCCAAGTAATAAATGGAAGATGAGTTTATCCCTTTTTGAGATAAAACAATGACAGCTTCTAGAAGTTATTTTTATTATCTTATTTATGATGAATGAATGAATGAATGATTTTAAAAATTACATTCATACCCTGCTCTCCAGCCAAAAAGCTCTCAGAGTAGCTGGCTTATATGGAATTAATATGCAGTTCCTGCCAACAGGCTTACTCTCTAAACAAAGGCATACAAAGGGACACGGAGGGAAGAAGGAAAAAAAAAAAAAAGGAAATTCAGGCACTACGTAATTACCCACAATTATAGAAACATTTGTAGTTCTATTCTCCCAAGAGCAGCAGGCTGGATTGACAATCACTGTCTGGTTTAATTTTCTGCGTCCCCTTTAACCACTGACTTTGTGCCTATGTGTGGGAGAGCCAGAGTCTGTATTTTAGGGGTTCCAATTTCTCAAAATTGTACTCTCATTGATTCATGTGTAAAGTAGCCTAACTGAAGGAAGAGAAACTTAAAGCTATCAGAAGTCATGGCTAAATTTCCCCATTGATTCTTGTGAATATACTCCAGTTATATGTTTATTCCACTTTATTTCCCCACTCCCAAATAATTCTGGGGTTAAGAGTTGCTAGAAAACACCTATTTTCTAGGTGTACCTCACAGAGCTACAGTTCCTGGAATGGTTTACCAGTCAGTCCTGCTGCCCCAGGAGCTCTGGAAACTGTTCCTCTCAGTGTGAGGAATAGGTGTCCATGAATGACTCTCGGTACCCCTGACAGACTGTGGTCCCCAAGACAGTGGTGGGGGAGGTGATGACTGTTTCCGGTGGAATAAAAAGCTTCCGAATGTGTGGTGTGAATGCAGGGGGGTGGGAGGCAGTTTTTGGAGCAGCAAAGGCAAGCTGGCCCCATGCTGCTGAGGAGTGGAGGCTGACCATGAGGTCGAGCGCTGCAGAAAACACACGTGCATGCCCGGCAGGCGTCTCCAGAGAGGCAGTTCCCAGGAACTGTTGGGAACTGTCAAAAAGACACCATGTTCTTAGCCCATTACATTCAGGACTCCAACACAGTAGCAGCTGCCAGCCATGAACCAGCAAAATCAAGTCTCTTGAGAGGTGGTGAGGAGGGGGGAACCCTGCCTCTGAGTGCCCCCTCCAAAATAAGTGGGGGTGCTCTAAGCCCCCAAGGCCCTCCTGTACTATGCCCTGGCTGACTTATGGTGACCCTATGAATGAAAGCCCCCCAAATGCCCTATCCATGACAGCTCGGCTCAGCCCAGCTCTTATAAATTAAAGGCTGTGGCTTCCTTGATGGAGTCAATCCATCTGTTCTTCTGTCTGTGACTTCCCCTAGCATCACTGTCTTCTCCAGGGTGTCTTGCTTTCTCATCACAGGCCCAAAGTGGGACAGCCTCAGCTTTGCCATTTTTATTATCTGTTTTATGGACCATGTAAACTGCTCAGAGAGCTTCAGCTGTGAGGCGGGATAGAAAAGAAATAAACGATATGAACAAATAAGAAAGACTGTGGAAGCAGAAGCTTCCCTCAGTAGAGGGGCAGGTTAAAAGTCTGATGTGGAGCAGCCCTGTGCATTCCCATGCAAGTGGAGAGAGTAGGGAATGTTGCCACCTGAAAAGAGGAGGAGGAGGAATGCAGGTTGCATCTCCCATGTCCTGTGAGAATCAGGGGTGAGCTGAGATCTGAAGTCTGGTCTCCTCGGTCCAGGTCTAGCACTAACACTTCTGTGGCACACATCTTGAGCCACTGAAAGCATTTGAGCCAATGCATCTTTATTGTTTTCAAGATAAAGAGGAACATGCTCTATGGAACAGAAGGGATGCAATGCCAATAGAGCAAGATCCTCACTGGTGATCTTTGTAGGCTTCCCTAAGGAGACTTCCTCAGTGTTACCTTAAAGACTGGTGTGCCTTTTTACTCTGGATTTATTTTACCATCTTCTGTATGGTGGGCAAAGACAGGCTGGAGAGAAAAGAAGAAAAGCATTTACCTGAATAAGGACACTGGATCAAGGAATATCTTTGACATAGGCCACCCTGATATTGCTGGAACTTGGCTCTATATTGTGCCATCTTTTCAAGCAATTTGTCAATAAACAGCATCTGATGGAAAATGAACAGGGGCGGTTAGAAGAGGGGTAAGGAACATATGGCTTTTCAAATCATCCCCAACCATTGGCCATGTTGACTAGAGCTGATAGGAGTTGTAGTCCAGCAACTTCTGGAGGGCCGTGCTTTCCCTATTTTGGGTTTAGAAGCATAAAATGACACCATGCCCACAAACAGCTTTATTGCACTTGCAATCAAAGATATAGGAAACTTGAGGACTAATATAACACATATCTGTCAGCATCAGGCACTTGTTACTCGTTGTAAGCCGCCTAGAGATTCCTGTTGGAATACTTTGGCAGCATGCAAATGTAAAGATAAATAAATAAAAATAAACAAAAAGAACCATAACCATTAGGCCCATCACAGTACTAGTGTTTATGCAATTTTCCCCTCAGAGTTTCTAATGCTTTGAAAAAGCTACATATTGCATCAGCAAAATGTTTCCCAAGCCTGCATTTGGCAAACTAACATGCATGCAGGACCACCTTTTGAATTGTGGCTGAGGGAAGGGTGAAGTTCTTTCACCAGCACCAGCCCCAAAGGACCACAATTCTTGCCTGCTAGATGCTTTTCCTCAACTGGACTTAATTCCAGGGTTGAAACCCAGCTGGGGAAAATATAGGCAGTGGGATTTGCAGAGAAGAACTAATAGGAGAAAGGATAAGCACTGGCATTCTGTCAAAGTTCTCTTGGCAAATGTTTCCTGCTCTCCCGCATCAGGGCTACAGGACAAATATAATATTAGGAACGCCAGGCTTGCCTCACAATATGTATTTCTTCTGCTGCAATAGACTGGATCTTTAGGAGAGAAAAGCAAGCAAGAAGCATGGTACTTTTGGTGGAGACAATAGCCAGAAGACAGGCCTATTGGTTTCTAGCAGCAAGCACAATGCAGTCCAGGGACATCTAAAAGTTTAAGATGCAAAAGGAAGCAAATGTCATGACAAGAGCTTTCATAGCAATTTGCACACAGGGGCTGGTGAAGCCTGCAAGATCCATCCATCTAGGTTCCACTTGCATTTGCAGAATTGAAGAAGCAAACGTTCACCCTACTGATGAGTCCACATATTGAGACATGCAGAATATTAAATCCATGTTTCCAGTTATCCCTGGTTGCAACACCTGGCCCAAAATTTGTTGAGGATTTTAACACATAAAAGATTTGTTTAAATCAACTCCATTCAAATGGGCTACATTCCAGAATTTTTTAGCTTTTTCAGATACTGGCCAGTTAAATATATATTTGGAGCCACGTTTGACATTAAGGTATACTCTTTGTACAATTGTAAAAAACATGTTTAAAATACTAACATGGAGCATGGCGGGGGGGGGGGCGGTTCTTGCAATACTGCACTCACTGACTATGTGTCACTGTGCCATTACAGAGTCCTTTTGTGCCCTTTGTGTCACAAAAGGGCACAAAAGAAGGCAATAGGCTGCATATTTGCTGCTGTGCCACTCTTTGCAGAAGCCAAACCCAGCAGAATAGTGCCCCTGTGGCATGAATCCTCTGCACACTTACCTAGGGGTTAGTCCCATCAAAATTGGTGGGCCTTATTCCCAAGTCAAGTTGCGTGCATCCGCATTGCACATCTCAAGGTTCCCCAGCTCACCCCCATTGACAATCTCATCCTCTGCAAATTTATGTAATCCCATTTCAAGCCATCTGAACCTTAAATCCCTTCCCAACTCCAAAGAGCCAGGATTTAATATTCAGAAAAGGAATTGCTATGATGCTGTTTGCAAATATAGCCAGCTCAGTCTGAATCTAATGCGATTCTGTTCTTTGTGCATCAAATGTTTCCAGAAATATTATTTTAGAATGTCACAACTGGGGTTAACAACATTTATGCAGCCAAGTTATGAACTGCAGCTGTGCAGTTCTTTTAATTTCTGAAGGGCTATTAATTTCTTGGAGGTCCATTGCATTTACACAGACCTTGCAAAATGACTTAGGTAGGCTTTCAGCAAATTTACCAAAAGACGAATATTACTTGTTATATTTTGGAATAGTGTGTTTCAGGATAGAGTAAGGCATATCTATACCTATGCCTAAGCCTATGCTTCAGTCTAAGCCTAAACTTATCCCTAAGCCTATGCCTTTATCCATATCTATTCCAGGCAAACACAGTAGAGTTGGGGTCTAGTTACAAAGAACTGAATTTGCTCTATTCCTCCTCCCTTCCAATCCCTTTTTCTTTTCTGCCTTTTCCTTTGGAGTATAAACCTGAGGATAGGAGCTATCTTATTGATCATTGTAAGCCACACAAGGAGCTATGTTTAGCTGGAGTAGGGTAAAAATATTTCAGTTAAAATAAACAAACACTGCATCACAGGGTGCTTCCTAATAGAGGGCTCCTAGTGCTATAAACCAGAAGGCCTAGTGCAGCATTTCCTCTTTTCCTTCTCTAATTTACTTTTTAAAATTTTTTAAAATGTCTATACCATCCATCAGCCAGAGGCTCTCTGGCCAATACACAACATTAAAATATACAACAAACAAAATGATAAACAACAGTATAGAATAATCAATAATACATAAAATCAAACTGAAATAATACATTAAATAAAATGGCAAAAATAAACCCACAGCAACCACAGTCAGATCAGTCCGGAGGTATAACATTAGTACCAAATAGAATACAATGTAAAAGATGAGAATAAACATTTAATTGTTAACTCTCTTACCCTGGGCCAGTCAATGCCTATGCTGAGAAGGAGCAGAGATTCTATCGCCTGTTGGTTCATTGGATCTCTGTCAAGCAAGGAAAGTCAGGGTGGTGCAGTGGTTAAAAGTGTGGAGCTGGGACTCAGAAGATCAGGATTCTAGTCCCTTCTCAGCCATGGGGACAATCGGGTGGCTTTTGGCCAGTATCAGACTCTCAGCCCAACTGACCTCACAGGGTTGTTGACGTGGGGATAAGACTGAGAGCAGCAGGAGGAGAATGATGCAAGCTGCTTTGAGTTCTTAAAAAAAAGAAAAGCCATGCTATAAATCTAATAAAGAAATGGAGCAAGGATAGACACCGTTGGACAGGAGATAGACTGAGATCAAGAGGTAGATTTCTGAATGAGTTGCTGAAGATTAGCAAGGGGGTTTGTTTTGTGTTTTGTTTTTATCCCAATGATTTAATAATGGTAATGATTTTTCCCCTTCCCTAATGAGGCTGGTTCGTATCCCTGACTTGCACTAACTCAGATTAGGACTTCCATAGGTAGGTTGTCCCTGTGCATAGCCAATGGAGCAGAGAAGGTAGGGACCTCCATCCCCATCTCTCTCCCTCTCTCTTTCCTTATGTTTCTTCCCCGCCCCCACCCCCTTAACCTCTTTGGTCTTCTCTTCCTTTTTATTTTTTATTATTATCTTCTGTACTGCTTTAGGAGCTTTGTTGAATTGTGAGATTATTTACAGCAACGGAGGAATGCAGAAGTTTGATGTGGAGGAGGAGGGGACAAGAGAAGTAGTAGAAGCTGAATACTGAAGAACTATGGACGGAGGTTCGCAACATTTTACAAGAGGCAGCAACTAAAACCATCCCAAAGAAAAAGAAATGCAAGAAAGCAAAATGGCTGTCTGAGGAAGCTTTACAAATAGCCGAGGAAAGAAGGGAAGCAAAAGGCAAGGGAGAAAGAGAAAGATGCACACAATTGAATGAAGAATTCCAGAGAATAGCCAAAAGAGATAAGAAGGCCTTCTTAAATGAACAGTGCAAAGAAATAGAAGAAAACAATAGAATAGGGAGGACCAGAGATCTCTTCAAGAAAATTGGAGATATGAAGGGAACGTTTCATGCACAGATGGGCATGATAAAGGACCAAAATGGCAGGGACATAACAGAGGCAGAAGAGATTAAGAAGAGGTGGCAAGATTGCACAGAAGAACTATACAAGAAAGAGCTTAACGTCCCTGATAACCACGATGGGGTGGTCACTGACCTCAAGCCAGACATCCTGGAATGTGAAGTCAAATGGGCCTTAGGAAGTCTGAGCAACAACAAAGCTAGTGGAGGTGACAGTATTCCAGTTGAGCTATTCAAAATCTTAAAAGACAATGCAGTAAAAGTGCTACACTCAATATGCCAGCAAATTTGGAAAACTCAGCAGTGGCCACAGGATTGGAAAAGGTCAGTTTGCATTCCGATCCCAAGGAAGGGCAATGCCACAGAATGTTCAAACTACTGTATAATTGTGCTCATTTCTCATGCTAGCAAAGTGATGCTCAAAATCCTACAAGCTAGGCTCCAGCAGTATGTGGACCGAGAACCAGAAGTACAGGCAGGATTTCGAAGAGGGAGAGGAACTAGAGATCAAATTGCCAACATACATTGGATCATGGAGAAAGCTAGGGAGTTCCAGAAAAACATCTACTTCTGCTTCATTGACTATGCTAAAGCCTTTGATTGTGTGGATCACAACCAATTGTGGCAAGTTCTTAAAGAGATGGGAGTACCAGACCATCTTATTTGTCTCTTGAGAAACCTATATGTGGGTCAAGAAGCAACAGTGAGAGCTGAACACGGAACCACTGATTGGTTCAAAATTGAGAAAGGAGTTCAACAAGGCTGTATACTGTCGCCCTGCCTATTTAACTTATATGCAGAGCACATCATGAGAAAGGCAGGCCTAGAAGAATCACCAGTTGGAATTAAGATTGCTGGGAGAAATATCAACAACCTCAGATATGCAGATGATACCACTCTCATGGCAGAAAGTGAAGAGGAACTAAAGAGCCTCTAGATGTGGGTGAAGGAGGAGAGTGCAAAAGTTGGCTTGAAACTCAACATTAAGAAAACTAAGATCATGGCATCCGGTCCTCTCGCTTTCTGGCAAATAGATGGGGAAGAAATGTAGGTATACCAAATGATAACTCCACTCTGTGAAGTTTCTGAGCGCAGATGGGGACTGCAGCCAAGAAATTAAATGATGCTTGCTCCTGGGGAGGAAAGCTATGGCAAATCTAGACAGCATACTGAAAAGCAGAGACATCACCCTGCCAACAAAAGTGTGTATAGTCAAGGCTATGGTTTTCCCAGTTGCAATGTACAGCTGTGAAAGCTGGACCATAAGGAAGGCTGAGCACCGAAGAATTGAGGCCTTTGAATTGTGGTGCTGGAGGAGACTCCTGCGAGTCCCTTGGACCGCAAGGTGATCAAACCGGTCAGTCCTAGAGGAGATCAACCCTGACTGCTCTTTAGAAGGCCAGATACTGAAGATGAAACTCAAATACTTTGGCCACCTAATGAGAAGGAAGGACTCCCTGGAGAAGAGCCTAATGCTGGGAATAATAGATGACAAAAGAAGAAGGGGACGGCAGAGGATGAGGTGGCTAGATGGAGTCATTGAAGCAGTTGGCGTGAGCTTAAGTGGACTCCAGGGGATGGTGGAGGACAGGGAGGCCTGGAGGAATGTTGTCCATGGGGTCGCGATGGGACGGACATGACTTTGCGACTAGCAAGAAGAAAGAGAAAAACAGATTAATAAAGACAAAACTAGATTTGTCCCTAAAAGAAATATGAAAAACAATATACGTTGTGTGATTGATGCAATAGAATGGGTTAAGAAGGAAAAAAGCTGCATTTATTTTTCTAGGTGCAGAGAAAAAAAAAGAAAAAAACCAAAAATTATATTAAGATTCATAACAAAACAAGAAGAGGAACACATTAAAATAATCTCATGATCTGAAATAACTTCAAAACCCGTTAAATAGTTAGGGATAACCATCACAGTAATGACTCACTTTTTCAAGACAATTTTCAATCAAGTTGAATGAAGATTCAAAATAGACCAAACTAAAAGCATCTTGGTTGGGGAGATTCTCAGTTGTAAAAATGAATGTGTTACTTAAACTGAACTTTCTTTTCCAGATGATACCTTTTCCAGAATCCAATTGTGATTCTGGAAAAGGTTTTTTAAGATTGGCAGAGACAATTAAATAGTTTTATTTGTAATGGCAAAAAACCAAGGATTGGATTCAAAATTTCACAGGACACAAAGGAGAGAGGAGGCCTTGCTGTACCGAATTTGAAGTTATATTATTATACAGCAGGCCTGCTCTACATTGCAGATTGGATTCTAAACACTAATGATAGGCAAGTGAAGTTGGAACTGGCTGAAATTGAAGACAGAATACATAATCTTTTATGGCCTAAAACATCAGTTAAGAAGGCTCTGATCTTAAATAACAATCATGTGCTAAGAGACAGTTTAATAAAAATTTGGTAGTCTGCGCAGGGGAGGGGGGATAGTCCTCCAATCTGGCCCCCGTGTCTCCAGTTGAAGCATATGAAACACTTTAGGAGAAATAATGATCTTATAACTTATTGAGATTGTTATTGACCAATCAATGAATTAAATCTTGGCAACAACTTAAAGATGAAGGGAAAAATATATATAATGGCTTGTTTACTATCAATTAATTTCAAGATTGAAGGGGGAAATGCAATCAGGAGGAGGCATTTTAAGAGATTTGAAAGATTTTGAAATGTTGATTACGCAGCAGAATGATCACTTCCTGGAAAGACTTTACAAGTTGTTATTAAACTATGATATTGAAAGCCATGGTGAAGAAATACCATCTGGTCAGTGGGAAGCCCTTTGGATGGGGAAGAGAGAGAGAGAGAGACTAGATGGTGCCAAAGTTGCACTGGAAAAAGGAGTTTTTTGCCAGGCTCCTGAAACTCAATAGAGTAAACTCAGTAATAGCTGGGCTAGGGGCAGGGGTGATAATAGTTTGATTTGCATTTTATAACATTAATAAAACAATACAATTAAAATATTGTAATAGAATAAATTCACAATAAAAG